TTCAGCAACTGCTGGAGTCACATCAATAGGACGCATACCGATGGTCCGGTGCTTACGTCCGTTGTACTCCGACACGAGACGCCGTAAGATGTCGAACCATTTGTATGTTCCTCAGAGTGTAAACATTTTCCACATGTCGTTCTTCAACGTGAGATTGAATCGTTCTACGACCGATGCCTTCATGACGGAGTACGTCGAGTAATGATTAACGTTGTGTTTCTTTGTAAGTTTCTGCACATCAGCGTAGTAAAATTCCTTGCCTTGATCAGTTTGGAGGTTCTTCGAGCATCTGCCATCATTTCGAATTATCTGTGAGATCTCTATGAGATGCTTGTGGTGAATCAAGTGGATCAACAGGAGAAACAAGTGGGAAATAAATTTTTTACGAGACGCGCAATCAGCAGTACAAAATCCTCCACTCGAAAGAAACTCAATGCATTCAACGTAGAGTTTTTGAAATCTCTGGTATTCCTCGTACGGAATAATTGAGGAAAGGAAAGATATGATTGACATTTTGAACATTGAAGGTGAGCCGATCTTTGACGATCGCATCGTCAAGATTGAATCTCACACGTACAGCCTATACGCCAATACAACGTTAGGATATAGCGATGAGATAAGAATACCCATACAACAGCAAGATTTATACACATTACCATGCGAGAGTTATCTTTCTGTTGAGGGAAAAATAATTGCACAAGCGACAGCCGAAAATGTGGCTGTAACATTAGGAAATAATTGTGTCACATTCATGTTTGATGAGATTCGTTATGAATTGGATGGTGTAGAGATTGATCGTAACAGAAACGTTGGAATAACTTCCATGCTCAAGAATTATGTATCGTTATCTTCTGACAAAATTGCCTGCATGAGAAATGCTGCGTGGGATACGATCAATGCTCATTCGACAGATGGATACTTCAACTTTTGCGTACCGCTCAGCATGTTGCTAGGATTTTGCGAAGACTATAGGCGTATAGTGATTAATGCGCGCCACGAATTGATTCTCATACGATCGCGCAGTGACAACAACTGTCTACATGGATCATCGGCGTTGGAGTTTAAGGTGGAGCTATTCAAGATGCAATGGAGAATGCCTCACGTCCTCTTGAACGATATTAATAAGCTCTCCCGGTTGAGAACCTTGGAGAACGGCCGATACCTGAGCATGAGTTTCCGCTCG